ATGTCATGACTAAATTTGACATTAAACATAATCCAAGTTGAAGTGTTACATCATTTTCAGCCCCCTTTTTGGCATCTGCATTTGGTAACAGGCCAAATTGACAAAACCATGCAGAATAATGTAGTATTTTAATTCCACAGCAGAGAAAGCTATGTAGTCTCTGTAAGTAGAACTGGGGGGGGGGGGAAAATATCGGTATTGGCATCAGTTATCGGCCAAATAAGTTTTAACATATCAGCATATTGGATATCGGCCAAAAATCCAATATCGTGCATCCCAAGTATATTACCCACATTTTTTGCCCACAACAGACCGTGTGCGGTAGATTTTATGTGCAACAAAGCAACAGAAACCAACTTCTCAACAAATTGTGCAAACATGTGACACATTTACATCGGATGACGGAGCAAGGAGAGAAGAGTGTGTTGTGACCAGTGAAGTTATGTTTACAGCAGCAGAAGCTCAGCTACATGCTAGTAAAAGGTGATAAATATTTTAGCATACAAGTCTGCATACTTCTAGAGAACATGTAGGAAACATTCGCTTTTCCGGTTATAAAAGTCTGATTACAATAACTACAGCAAGAGTGATGCATTTTGGGAAGTTTTTTTCTGCCTTCCCTCATTTATCATCTTTGAAACAAACCAAACCTTTCCACAAAAAAAAAGGTTTTAAAATAATTTTAAACTGGATGCTTCCACCTACTGCAGCTCTGATGACGGCAGCTCTGAGATGTTGGATCAAACATACTAAATATTTAAGAATGCTCAACAACCCACATCTTCGCTATACTTATTCAGCAGCGGAGCTAAATACCTGCTGCACAATATATATATATATAAATATAAAAATAAAACAATCTAAATAGTTTACCGCCTCTCAAAATGCATCTGTAAAAACATTGCTGCTTGCGTTGTGTGCCAAATGCTCACGTTTTGGGGAAAGAACAGCTTGTTTTGTGTGTCAGGCTCCGGTGTAATCACAACTCACTGACACTTATAGTAAAGCAATTAATATGAGGCTCACAGGCAAAGAAAAACAAAAAAAAAAAACTCTCCTTGCTTTGCTCCCCTTTTCTCCACCTTTCTCCTTCCTCACTCATAACTAGAAGCTTTCAGCAGAAAACACCGCTCTTTAATAATTTGTATTCATGTGTCATCGCGCCGGCTGTGGGCACTTTTGGCTTTTAGATATGGCTGCTGATCCAACAAGCGCTCTGAAACTCTGTCAGCTGAAATGCACAAAACAAGTGTGACAGTTGGGAAACGTGTTTTCAGCGAAATAATCAGCTAACAAGGAAACAGGAACTCATAACGATGGGAGAGCAGAAGGAGGGCATGAACAACAGACAGAGCTGGATGTGTTTGTCTCATAAGCGTGGATGGATGCAGGGACCAGTCCAGCACAGGAATGAGACACTGATGGGATATTTTTTTTTTGTTTTGTTTCATTTTATGGTGCTTTTGCAGCAAGTTATGACTACATGTTGCATCTTTTTGTAGTGATTTTGTGTCTTATTTGTAGCCTAAAGTTTGAATGTATTGGTTTCTTTCACATGTTGTGTGATCCTTATTTTAGTTAATCGGCTCTTCACAGAAGACTTCCTTTCACATACTTATTGTAGATAATAAAAACTGCCTGTTTGGCACCCTCCTGCTTACCATCATTACCTCTACAGAAGAAACGATCTTAAAGTCATCAAAGTCAGCGTTTGTGTTTCTGTGGCTGCATAATGTTGATCCATCGTGACAGACGACAGCAGTTGACCGTCCGCCATCATCGTGCTTCATCATGTGTCCGTCAGAACAGCTGAAGCAACACCTCGGGTCCCCAGTCCATGGCGGTCTGAGCTACAGCGAACACAGCAGCCCCGAGCGTAGCGGACAGCCCCCACACAGCCATCTTTACCATCCTGTTCCCCCTGTGCCACAGCTGGCCTCTGTCTGCGGGCAGCGCTGCTTCCAGGCCTGTGTGTCATGAGGGAGCGGGGACAGAACGAGGAGGAGAGGTCAGACAATGAGGAGCACAGATATGGAGGAGGTCAAGAAGATTCATAATGCTTAAAGCTAGACCAAAGCAAGAATAGGCTGCACTTCATAGAAGGGTTGGAAATAAGAAGAGGATGTGGAATGGTAAACCACAAAGAACAGAGACAGGAACAGAGCAATATATAATTTCATTGATTTATCAACAGACCTATATTGTTCTGTAATAAACTTCTTTAAAAAGTCTTCAGTTGATCCAAAATGCTGCTGCCAGAGTCTTAACTGGAGTAAGTAGGAGAGATCATCTCTCTCCAGTTTTAGCTTCTCGCCATTGGCTCCCTGTCAAATTCAGAACAGAATTCAAAATCTTACTTCTAACCTACAAAGCCCTCAACAACCTAGCTCCATCTTATATTACAGATCTTATTGTTCCATATTTTCTAACAGAGCACTTCACTCTCAGACTGCAGGCTTACTTGTGGTTCCTAGAGTTTCCAAAAGCAGAATGGGAGGAAGATCTTTCAATTATCAGGCTCCTCTCTTGTGGAACCAACTTCCAGTTTCTGTCTGTGAGGCTGACACATTGTCCAGTTTTAAGACTTGAGACTTTCCTTTTTCATAAATCCTATAATTAGGGTTGCCTTGTTATGCTGCCTTAAGCTTAGACTACTGGAGGACAAACTGACCTCATTTCCTTAAATTAATTGTTAGAAATCAATAGTTTCCATTTGATTAAAATCAAATCAAAGAGGAACAGATACACAATGGCACATGTTAAGATAGAAATAAATTTCTATCTTAACATGTGCCATTGTGTATCTGTTCCTCTTTCTTGTCCTCTCAAACCCAGCTGGTTGAAGCAGATGGTCGCTTGTCCTGAGCCTGGTTCTGCTAAAGGTTTCTTCCTCCT